CCCTACAGTGGGATGTGGGATCCAGGAGAAACCGAGAGGGTGACTAAGGCAAACGTACTTCTTGCAAATATATTAGTTTCGGTTTTTTTTAATCTTTTACTTTCCTCACCTTTACAGCTTGTTCTTTTATTTACTTTGTATAAACTATGAAGTTTTGTGGCACAGATAGTTTCAGAAAGTTATTTTCTAGGCAGATTCCACTATCCTGAATTTGAAGGAGATAAAAACCCTAGAACATGAATTATATGAGTGACCCCACCAAGGAAAACTGATTAAAAATCACCTGCTCCAAGGTGGTTTGGTGGGTGTATGGAAGTGCAGTCCTGAGCAGGTGCTCATGTTTCTGCCAAAAGCAGTGCAGAATCTGAATGTGTGTGTGATGTTGCCCTCCAAGAACAGGTGTTTGTTGAGGTGAAGCAAAAGAAAAGCCCTAATTCATCAAAATATTCTAATATCACAGAACTCCTCTGAGACTATCAAGGCTCAGCACATGTGAAAGCTCATTGCAATTCAGAATGTTAAAGTTGAAGGGGCTGCTGTGAGGAAAAAGCAACCAGGAGATGGAAATCAGGTAATCCTGAACTTCCCTTATCATAAATAAATTTTGGCTTCATCTGTACTCCAAGCAGCCAGCAATGCCAAGGAAACCTTTTTCCTGGTATTTGTGGGGAAAGAGAATGTCTAATTTCCTCAGCCAAGTGACACTGAGGATCTGGGAGGCAGACAACTCTTAAGAAAGCAAACAGCAAAGAATAACAGTGACCACCAGCTTCAAGGAGAGCTCCTGGAAGATGTTTTTAAAGGCATTGCTATGGTTAAGTCCAGATTTAAGTCAGTACAATTGTAAACCGTGAACTTTTGGCCAGATGGGACAATGTTTTCTGACAGTTGAGGAAGAGCAGGAGCAATACTGCCAGGGATAGAACAGCTCAGTGCAGGAGGCAGCAGCCTTTCAAAGCTGATGTACCTCTGTGTATGGATAAATATGTCCCAAATGAAGGGCTGGATGTGCCGGTTACAAAAGCTACCTCCCAGAGACAAGGGCTACCTCCCATCTGCTCATCTGGTGTAGGAGATCTCAGTCCTAGCTGGGTTTGGAGCTGAGTAGGAGTCAGGAGCTACTGCCACTCCTTTTAGGATGCTCAAGTTCCCAGTCTCTGGCTCGTCCACATGCTACTGAAAATCTGCTGTGCACTGGTTTTCTGTCCCATGTCTCCCATGCTGCAGAAGACCAAGTTGCAGAACAGAGCTGCAGAACGAGCAGCTGCTGGGACTACTTGAGACTTGTACTGCCCAGGATCCTCCTCAGCTCCTGGAGACTTCAGGCCTGAATCAAAAGAGGACTCACACCTGGAAATACCCATCAACATGTTTCTCTTCAAAGACAGCACACACATTCTATCGACTTGTAAGCATTTGTGTGGCAAATATAGAGGTATTATGAAGTTATCTTTTCAAACAAGATACAGGTTTATTAAAAAAAAATAAATAAAAGTCTTCAATCTGTTCTTTGTAGAGCTGTCTTCAGAAATACCTGTCTGAATCTCAGGATAAAGTCCTTGATGCACACCACTTTCAAGGGCTGAGTTCTTACCTCATGAGTAATAGCTGAACCTCACAGAACTACTCAAGACTTTAACCTATTTCTTGCATTTTTACATGTATATTATTGCTTCTTCCGGTTACAATCTACTTTTTCCTAGCAGGAAACTAACATGTGGCTTTAGTAATACCTATCATCCATCTTATTTATTTCATCTATTTCCAGGTAATTATGTATAGAGTATTTCTTAGTCTATATTTGGATGGCCTATTTAGAGACCATTGGATTCCTTCCAGAATGGCAATGACCTTTCTGTGACTCAAACATTAATTTTCTAAATGGCATCACAGGTGAAATACCTTATACATCATCATAATTAACAAGATACACCCTTTTAATGGTCAGAAATCATGTTTTTCATAATTATAAACAGAATCCTTTCTCTCAAGCAGTATCAATGATACAACCTTCCTCTCTGCTACAAAAATTGTTAGTTAATACCATTGGATGCATCCACAGCAAAACCTACTAAAGCCCTATTCAAAAAATCAACCTTAATTGCCAGCCTAACATTGTAGGCACCCACAAAATGTAGGTTTTAGAGACATTACACTTCAGAACTATTCAGATATTCATCTGCTATAATATGTTTGACAAGTCCTGGTTTGAAATGGACTGGCATTATAGGCTAAATTGATCTGCCTGCCTTCCTAACTTTGCTGAAGTCAACTCTGCCTGTGATTTCTGAGAGCACAGAGAAAGTGGTAAACTGCAATCCATACTCTCTCATAAGTCCTCCTTCCTCACTGCAAATTAAGAGTCAGGGGATCAGGCACTTTCTGGTAAAACTTGGAGGAAGGCTTGCAAGGATAAAGAAGGAGTCAGGGTGGAGAAGAACTGTGTTCTATAAGAGGAGCTCTCTTCTCATGTAACGAGACAAAGGACAGAAGTTCCATTACACCAATGTGAGCTCTGATCCCCACAGATGTTACAAGCAGGACTGTGTCTGCCGAGATCAGCAAAGGGAAGTGATGCTGGGAGAGCACTGCTAATTCAGAGAGTGGTGATTTTTCTAGTGCAGCAGCACAGGGTCGATACTTCAGCCGAGGACAGCGAGCACCGTGCTTTTAGCTGTGCTGTGTGAGCTGTTCACTGGGCTGCCGTGACCCGTGGAGCTCTGACTGCTTCCAGCAGCTGAGAGCTTTATTCCCAGATCCTGTCCAAACAGTGACGTACAGAACAACATCCTGCCTAACCTCCTGGCCCCATTAATTTGAAGGGGGAAGAGCCTTCGTTTTCCCAATGAAAAAGTCTGCAAGGGGCTGAACAACGCCTGCATTCTGCCAGACTGAGAGTTACTCATCAGACAAATTACTGGCATGGGAGACAGGTAGATTTAGCACAATAAACATAATTTGCTCCCAAAGCTTCCTGACTTTCAAGAACAGAATTCACATTGCTGTAGGATGATAGATTTCCCCTTATTTTTATTAAAAGCTGCAAGATGAAAAAGTGTTAAAAAGTATGGGAGAGTTGACACGCTAGGGGTTTAATTCATGACAGTTTTTCACAAGCATCTCAGAGTTATCATGTAGTAACGGGTGCAGATTGGCAAAAAATAGTGAAAATCATGGATGCTATTTAACATAATTACACGATAACTTTTGAGACACATAAACAGAACATTCAATTCCTGCAGAAATGTACATGGGGTTAAAAGCCATTAAGAATTTAGAAACTTGCCCTTGATAATTTGATAACTGTCTCTTCTAGGACACTGGTGTAGTTTATGTTATTTTATGTACTTACTTTTTTTTACTACGAAGGCCAAATTCAATTATGTAATTTCTTTCAACAATATTTTGATAAAAGAAATTCCAAATATCTAAAATTAGCAGTCATGCTATACTTAAAGAGATTAGAAGAGCTTGTAGGTTAACAGGATTTTAAACTATTATTTGCAAAATTGTGCTGGTTTTAGAATGTTTTTCTTACTTCTTATCAATATTATTAAAATATAAGGGGGAAACTTAAAGGGTAAACAATACAGATGTTGTTTGCATTTAACTCAGAGTCCTGCTTCTCTTTCTGGCTTCCATAAAATGTTTACCTCCTTATAGCACTCAGCAAAGAGATTTGCTGCCTATGTGTGTGCATAATTGCATGTGGGAAAATTTCTGTACAACTTTTCAGCCTCACAAAAGCCTTCTAAATTAACATTGTTATAATAAACATGGTGTTCAGACAATAAAGACCTATAAACAACAGAATAGAATTATTGAGCTATTTGTGTTTAAATTGCATGTATACAGCATTTTGGATCAAAAATAGTCTAATAAGAGCTGGTTAATGATACATTTCTACTATTCTTTAACAGGGAGAAACCCTGTTGTCACATGTCAACCAAATACTTGGATTACAATTCTGAAGAAAACTGTGAATTGAGTTATTACTATGGCAAAAGCTAATGCTTGCTCAAACACCATCATAAAACCTGATTATAGGTCTAATGGACCTCGCTACAAACTCTGAGTCTGCAAACCTCCATTTAAAGAAAGGAATGGTCGACTACTGGGAGTACTACAGCTTTGTTTGTTCAGTTTAAAATAAAGGGTTTGTTTTCTAATATGTGAAATTATGAATCATCAATTTTCCTAAATAAAATTCAAAGGTTCCAAGTCCTGTTTTTATGTGTATTTTGCAAAGTGATAACTTCAATCTTTTGTTCTCTAACTCTACTTAATGCCAACAGCGATGATAGCAGGCTCTGAGGACTCTGAGTCCTTGGAGGACTGTGAAGACCACAGATGTCAGTGGGTCATGTGTGGAACCCACTGTCAGGATTTTCATCAGCTCAAAACGGACACAATTTTTTTACAGAGTCCAAAATCAGTGCTTCAGATTATTTAACAGAAAGAACCTAAGCAGAATTTTAGTTTACCTGATGTTGTGAAGCACAGAGCCACAGAATGGGTCAGGCTGGGAGGGAACACATCTGGTCCCACCTCCAGGCAGGGTTATCCCACAGCACATGGCACTGGATTGCATCCCAATGGATTTTAAACAAATCTGGTTGTGCTTTGAGTCCAACCTGTGTTAAAGATTGGATCAAAATTGCACCACAGTGTGCCACCAGGCTGGATCAGTTCTATTTCAGCTACAGCTGAACCCCAACCATTATACACAAACTACAATCACTGCTAGCTCTATGAATAAGTTTTTCTGAAAAGGATCACAATCTGGGATTTAAAGAAAACTTTCCAGACACATTTGGATCTTGATCTTACAAGGCATTGAGCATCTTGGATTCCCATTCATATTTAATATCTTAACAGGAGGATTTTGACACTTTGAAAGACATTAAGCAATGGGGGCACAAAGTAAAAACTTTCTATTCTACTACTCTTTGTCTTTTTTTTAGTATTTATTTCAATAACAGATTTTTATTTTTTTGGGGTTTTTTTTTGATAATAGCATTTTAATGGCAAAACCCTTGCTGAAATTCCTACTTTGTTACACTGCTCTTCAAGGATCTTCCTGCAGTCATCATACTTCAGCTTCTGAGTCAATAAGCAGGCATCCTCTAAAATAAAAAAACAGCAAATAGAAAAACATTAAAATGTCAGAAGTTTATGTATATACATTGATATCTGCATGTTTTATATTTGGGGTTGGAATCTGATTAATCAGATTTGTTTCTGTCTCAAAGGCTTATTTCTGTAAATTAAAAGTAATTACTCGATCAAAGGTAATTAAATTCTAAAACTGGGAATATGTGTAAAAAAACTGAAGGAAGTGTGAATTCATTAATTTATGAACAGGAAAAATATAATTATTTAGACATACTAAGACTGAAATTATGTGTAATTGCCTGTCAAAATCAGGTTAAGCATTGATAGCAATAACATTTAGTAAAAATCAGCAGATTGGTATAAAGTCTGTGGATTAAGAGCAAATACTGTACCAGGAAGATCTAAAGTCTTGGACAGAGGCTCACAGAGGCTTTGAGGCACTTGTTTCCTTATGAGGGTCTGTTATTTAAAAAAAAAAAAAAGTGCTTTAGTGTTTTAGACTTTCAACACTTCTAATGGTTAGAAGTCCTAAATGACTTAATTGAAAAACCTGACCTATGGTAAAAAGCCACAAGAGAAGGAAATCTAAAAAACACAGAGGTGAGTCAAGTAAGACATAATCCTAGAAATACAGAACTGAGCACCATGCAGGGGAGGAATTGAGCAGTGCAGGAAGAAAGAGAAGGCTGCCATCTCTCAGTGGGGTTCTCCTCATAGGATGTGATCCAGGGAACAGGTGGCTGGGAGGCCATGGCTTGATTCTGCAGTTCTTGACAGCCAGAGTTCATTTGCTCCAGTGATGCTGTCTCATTCCTTCCTCACTCAGTTTCCACTCCAAACTCCCACCTCCTGGCTGCACTTTCTGCTCCATTCCCAGGGACTCTCCAGCAACACACCTCCCTCTGCCTCATTCCACCCACACCACCCCTGGGGCATTGCTCCTTATTTTGGGAGCTACTGATCTGCTTCACCTCCTCAAATGAGGAAAGCGCACATATATATCTAGTCCACCCCTGACATCTATTCTCCAAGGCTTCTGAGGAAGGTTATTTCACAGCATCCCTAACCTCTCTGTTTCAGTGCTTCATAGACTTATTGCTCAGTTTCTTCCCTAATACTTAAGATAAATATTTATTGCAATTTAAACAGATTTTTCTCTTTCTTTTGAAAGATTTCTCTTGATTTTTCTCTACCTCTTGCAGACATGAAGAGCAATGGAACACGGTCTTCTTTTACAATGACTCCTTATATCTTGAGAGACTATTTTCCTTTCTCTGATCTTCCCTTTTGGAGGCTAAGCAAACATATTCTCTTCAATATTTCTATATTACATACATATCCAAGAATATATCCATATAGTATCTATATAATACATCGAAGAGAAAGGAACTCATGTTTTCTTAACTGGATCCTCCTCAATTTGTCACTACCTTTTTGTTTGTATGGCATCAAAATTTAACTCATGACCAAAATAAATCATCCAGTTCTGGTGGGGGTGAAAAATAATGTCCAAAGCAGTGTCCCTGCTGGTGCAATGTCTGGGACAGATTAAAACTACTGGGCCACTGATGACTCAATAAAATTTATGTTTTTTCATTTCATGAGTTTTTATTAAGTATAGTTGCTAACAAGGACTTTATACATAGTTGTATGCAAGTAAGAACAGGATAAGCAAATCTATGAAGAATATCTGAGAATCAGCATTCCCATGTGGAGTTCCATTTTGTATGAGGGCAGTGTGTGTGTTAGTGGTTTACTCTGTATTTAACAATGTAGTTATTCCAGGTGACATGTCCTGAAACCAGGCCTAAAGAGGGAATTCCTTTTCTAGCAGACCAAGTCTTAAATGAAAAAAAATGTAATAAAACCTGCACAGCTCAGCTTGGTTTAGGAACTCAGCCAGTGGGAAGCAGCCCAGAAGTGCTCACAGGGGTCAGAACTGCACTGTCCCACTCCAGCTTCACACCAGTGCAGTGTTACTGCTCTTTCCAGTAGATGTACTTTGGTGGAACAGTGGCTCATAGTGGGTGACTCAAGCACAAAATGTGGCTGGGTACAGAAAGGTGGGTATTTTAAAGCAAACACACAGAAAATTGTTTCTCTGATAGCTACAGACACTGACACATGCAAGAGACGGTGGAGATGTGCACATGACAGATGGGGAGTTACAGCAGAAATTGCTTTTCTCGGGCACCTTTCGGCCTTTTGCCTTCACACTTGGACACCAAGCTATTATTGGCTGATTAACAGTTCTGCCCTCCCAGCACATATTAGGCATATCAAGGATAACTGATGGACTACTGAGCCATAAATGTTTTCTTAGCATTTGTTTGGCCTATGCTATTTGGAAACAATAAAAGCATCTCATATTCATAATGATAATACATATATACCACCACAGATCACACCATCAAGCATTCTCCTTCCATCTTATTGTGCAAAATGTGGCGATAACATTAATAGAATGTAAATATAATTAATCATAATAGGATGTCCCTGACAGATTATCACTGCTGTTGATAAAATATAATTAAAATAGTCTGGTCAGATTTTCAGTGCAGCTAGAATTGGCATATCTTCCTTCTGTTTCCATGTGTCTATCTACAGAATACTACACTTCTAAAAATCTCATTATTTCATGATGTTTTGGAAGTAAACAATGCAGAGCTGCAAGCCCTTTACATTATATGATTAGTGAAAAGCCATACAAAAGAAAGAAGGCCACACCCACAAAGACTGAAGCTACAACTAACTCCAGAGAGGACAGGAATTTTAGGCACCATTCTCTCAAAAGATTATAAAGAAAATGAAGCAGATGATGCTTGAGATTGTATGTCCATGTGATGGGAAAGCATTCAAATCCAAGGTTTGCATTATTCAAAGACTGTTGGACTTTATTAACAAGAATTCCACTGAAAGCTCCATGAAGTGATGATGTCATAAGAGGACTGTTTCAGGCAGATGAAACTAGTTTTAAAAAAAAAAAAAAAGAACATTTTTTTCAGGAGAACGACAAAAGTAAGAATAAGTGTAGCATGCATGAGATGATGACCCAGAAACCATTTTTCACCGTGTTTTCCAAATTAAAAATGAAGTAGGGTCTACTGAAAGTGGGAGGTGGTGGACTTGGATGTAAAGTAGGGGCCTCTTTGTGCACTTCCTCACTGGAACTCCCTGCTGCAGGATGCTGAGGATGCAGCAGTTTTCCATGGGCTCAAAAAGTACGATGGCAAACAAATAGAGGGAAAGCCCATAGCCTCTCCTATTCCTCTATCATAGCTCACCTGCTTAAGAATCCTCCAACACATCACCTCACACAAGATATGATAACATGCTGTTATGCTCTCACATGGATTCAGGTGTGTGTACAAGACTCTAATTGCAGCTCCTGCTAATGAGACTGAACTCTGACTATAGTGTACATACAGAAGTAGCAATATAAGGCAACACAGCATTTTCATTACATCTATTTTCCTTTAGCAGAATTACTTCCACATCTTCAGATCCACCACTAGCCAATACTGCATTTTTTTTTGTCAATTAAGGGAGAGAAAGCATGACTGTCTCGATGTATTCTAATGTTGGTGTAACACAGCTGATGAGATATAACCCATTATTGTATTTTAAAATTTACTAGCATTTGTAAAGGTCATGCAGCTGCTTTGAGTTATATAATCTGAAGAATGATGTAATGATGTAGGAATAGAGATAGAGCAGAAAATGACTGCCAACAACATGCTCATCCCATACTTGTAGATGATCTTCCTGTGTATTTTCATGTCTTAGTAAATGAAAATTGATGCAATGCCTTTTAAAAGCATGTTGGGCCTACCTGTTTAACCATGTATCCTGACTTGATCCACATGGAATGGAGGCAGTTGTACTTGGAGGTTTTATTAATATGAAGATTAATGAATTTGTACAATTTGGGCATGCAAAGCATTTCTATCAGGCATATTCCATTTAGAATAAGCAGTAAACCATATATAAGGGTTGTGTCAAAGTTTACTGAATAGGGCCCTTGGTAGCTAATGTAACATTTCTCCAACAAATCAAAGGTATTGTTCTATGCTCACATGAATATACAGTAGCCATTACCTTAAATTTAAAACTCACTGTGAGCAGCAAACACACTGTGGGGATATGAAGGCCATATTGTATCAGTGGAGTCTGCAGAGATTTTCTTCATATGGCTTTGCCTGGTTGAAATATATGTTGCAGTTGAAAGCTAAAGGGATTACTTTTGAATAGTCATCACAAAGGTTGATTATATTCGTATATCATTTAGCTGGACCCTGCAGGCTATTATTCCATTAGCTGTGCTGGCCCTGCACTGTCAAAAAGTTGATCGTATAATGTAAAAAGGGTCCATGCTATGTTAAGGTATGTGGAGTAACTTGAAGCAGTAATCTTTTAAGAGCAGTACAGCTCTGTACTTGAAGGTAGATTGCATTTAAAATAAATACCCTCAAAATGGAATAAGTACAATAAACCTACCTCTGTTTCCTATTTTTCCTTCTTCGAACAAGCTGTATGTAATTTGAGCAAGTTAATTGCACCAGGTAAGATATTGGCTATGGAGTATTTTTTCATGCTCACAGCCAAAGAACTAGACCTCAAAAATAGCTGCGTCTTTACGTGAAACCCTCGCGGAAATGAGGTTTCTGGTGAAATAGTTTTGCTGTTTATGCCTCCCTTGCACATGCAAACACACACACATTTTCTTTCAGTGCTTAATAAAATGGATCTTCAGACGGTTCCATTATGTGGATGCCTTAATATTATTTTATGCTAAAACATGGACAGCACATTAGATTGAAAGCATCTTGCTGTTGCAGGAGGCAGAGCAATCAGGGACTATCCCTAGATAGCAAATGCTCCCATTGGGGAAACAACGCCAACGCGGGCTAATGAATCACAGCAGTTATTAATCACGGGCATTTGGAAAAGCCACACATAATAGAGATGGACTCTCAAGATTAGGAAGGCTAGAAGGTGGGACTGAGAAAAAGACCAAAGATCATCCAATTGCATTTTAGAGTAAGTTTATGGATGAGTGTTTGCTTCAGTACAGTTATGCCTGTGCTTGCCTCTGTCTTTCTAAGCAGGCAGAGAAAGCAACAATTCAGGCAGCTCGGTTCTCTCAGCTTTCAGATCCTTGAAGGACAATTTGGCGAAAATAAATAAATAATAAACATGCACATACAAAACCCTTAGGGCTTGTGGCCTAGTTGGAAGCGAGACAGTGCTTCTTTTATTAGACAAAGTTGTTTAATTTAGATTGTAAAAGCAAGAGTTGGTTCTCTTTCAGTACACCATATATATTATTCAGGGCAATGAATGAGTCTTTACGAGTACAAATGGGAGCCTTTAATGAACTACAGCAAGCACTTGAGCAGGTAGGTTTCTCTGAATAAAGGCTTCACAGGTGGGCAAATTTATGAATGAGAAGGAGAATT